CCGGCATTCAAAAACCACTGCTTCCTGTCCAGGAATCCTCGATGTGGGCAGAGGACACACACACACACACACACACACACACACACACATACACACACACACACATTTTCCCTCACTGATGATGACATTTGCACTTCGTAAAGTTTATATCTCTGGTGAATTTTGTTAAAAAGTTTGTGGTTTTTGGACAGTTTTCACTGTTGCTGCGCAGAAGCACCAACACACACAAAAAATACTTTACTCACTCAATCATTTCACCAGGACATGAATTAATCCTACTCAGTTTCTTGATTTTGTCTTACCTGAACGGCAAACTTTTTTCATTTTTACAAGATTGTTTTCATGATATAACATAATCGTTTTCTTTTTATTGTGACGTAGCTGTCTCGTTATCACTACATGCTAGATTCTTCTTATTTTAACATGAAACATAAATCATTTTATCATAGTAAAGCACTTTATTCAAAGCCAACAAACAAAATAAAACTAAAAGAACATCTTGGTGTGTCTTTCTACTGTTCCAACAATCACAAGCGGTGGTGTGGTTGGAATAAACCACTAATGTTATACAGTGTGGAGCAGGTTGGACCCACATGCAGGCGACTGCAGACCACAGGAGCTCAAAGAGATCACTCTCTATTCCAAGGAAACAGCAACTTAACTTCACAAAAAATGAAGTCCAAGTCTTACAAGGGGATGAAGTGCAGGTGTAGAAAAGGGGCAGAGGAGCTCAGAGGCCGTTTACACGTACACGGTGATTTTGATAAACGGAGACATCTTCCTTCGTTTGTGCCCTTCGTTTACATGCAAACGGAGATTTCTCCTCTGAAAACGAGTCTTTCTAAAAACTCCGGCCAGAGTGGAGATTTTGGAAAACTCCGGTTGCGCGTTTGCATGTAAACTGAGATAAACGGAGATAAACGGAGTTATAGGCAGCCGACGTCACAGTATGTGCCGGAACTTGCGCCTGTGTCAAAAGTGCGACCTATGTTGCTATGGTGACAGTGGATACATGGAAGGCTTGAGCCTCTCATTACACTGCCACCTACAGGTTTGGCATGCTCTTGTGTATATATACACGGGTAAGTGTAAACGAAGATCTTTTTGAAAACGGAGATGGTGAAATGTCCGTTTATGAAAATAGCCAGTGACGTGTAAACGGCCTCTCAGGTGAGGGGAATAAGGTGATGAGGGAGCTGACTGACTGGGTAAAACTCAGGAGCAGTGAAGGACTAATGAGACTAGCGCAGGGCAGGTGTGTCGCTGGGTGCATGAGAGAAAGGCACTGAATGGGGGAGTTAGAACAGGTGAATGAAATTGACAAAGACAAAGGTGGGAAAACACAGAAAGACAGGAAATAAAACCAGGCATGACACATGAGGAGTGAATCTACAAATTAAAACAGGAAACAGCTGAAACATGAAACAAGGAAGAACACAAACAAAATCCTAGAGATAAGAGGACAAACTAAAAACCCTGGGTTGGGACAATTAATTCAGCCAGTTAGATGTGAAGATTTGCTTCCTCTATGCACAATAAATTTATTTTTTGGAGTTTGGGGGGTTTGGTGATCCCAATTTTGAGATCATTTCTGGTTGAACAAACAGGATCTTACACTTTAAGAAAACTTTCTTTTAATGCTTTAAAGGGATAGTGCACCCAAAAATGAAAATTCAGCCATTATCTACTCACCTATATGCCGAGGGGGGCCCTGGTGAAGTTTTAGGGTGCTCACATCCCTTGTGGAGATTGGCGGGCGGAGCGGATAGCACACCTAATGGCAGACGGCTCCCCAGACTAACGTCCAAGAACACAAAATTGAATCCACAAAGTATCTCCATACTGTTGATCCGTAGTGATCCAAGTGTGCTGCAGCCCCGACATAAAAAGTTTGTGATGCACGTCCTCTGAAGAGCAGCAGTCTCGTCAGTACTGATGTCCAGATTCTCAGGTGCAGGCATCGCCAATTCCCAGTCTGAGCAGCAAAGACTTTCCTCATCCCTTGGCATTGCTTTGCATTTGAAACAACTACACCACCAGGTTTCCAGTGCTCGACTCCGGCATTCTGCGGCTGGCTGAGGGTTAGGCTCATGAGCTGCGGCGGCTGCTTCGTCCAGTAGCCTGATTTCCTTCCGTATACTTGGGCTTAAACAAATACGGCTCAACAAAGAAATACTGTTCCTCCTCAATTTCAAAGTCTTTAGACATGTTGGGCTGTCCTTTGCTAAAAGACCGTAGTGCAAATTATCTTTTAGCTACTGTGGTTACCGTTGTCTCTCCCTGCGTGCACGTGTCACGTGATGTAAACACGGATGAGCAAAGCTCATGCTTTCGCTGGTCTCACGCAGGCGCGCACACGTGAGCACAGAGCACAGAGAAGCAGTCAGAGCTACAGGCTACAGTGAGGCTAAAAACAGAGTTCATATGACGTTTTTCGAAACAACTTTTTATGTCGCGGCTGCAGCACACTTGGATCACTGCGGATGAGCAGTATGGAGATACTTTACTGGATTCAATTTTGTGTTCTTGGACGTTAGTCTGGGGTGCCATCTGCCATTAGGTGTGCTATCCGCTCCGCCCGCGATCTCCGCAAGGGATGTGAGGACTCTAAAACTTCACCAGGGCCTCCCTTGGCATATGGGTGAGTAGATAATGGCTGAATTTTCATTTTTGGGTGCACTATCCCTTTAATGCTGGTGTTTTAAAGGGTGAAGTAAAACTACTGTTTTTGTCAATGGAGTCAGGCTTTGGAGAGAGCATAGATAAGTTTCATTCTTAGTTTAGTTCCCTGTCAGAGAGGGCTGTCTGTTTGGGAAGCCCTAAACATGTGACTGGAGAAATGAAACTTTTGGATTCACCATGGAAATGTACGAGAAAAACTTTGTCTTCACAAATTCAACATAACACAGGCTGAGTGAAAAACAAATGGTCATTTGGGGATGTGAGGTATTCCTTTAATTGGATTCAGCATTTAGCCTTCAGGCCACTAATCAAAATCCATGGTGTGAGGCACACTGCAGCGACCACAGGTGCCTACTGATGATTGTTGGCTTGGTTTGTCAGGGCTGTAAGTGAAGCCATTGAAATAACAGCGGCATACCGACAGCCACTTTTCGGCTCAGACAGGCCGCAGATGGCCAGACGTGGCTCTTGATTCTGAACTGACAGATAGCTGAACGAGTGACGCTTGTCCTGAGAGGGGAGTCTCCCTCTGAGTCACTCTGCCCTACATGGGAAAAACATTAAGCGGCTCGAGGGCTGATGCAAACCTGGAGTAATAACTTCTGATGGGAAGAGGGAAGTGAAAGCAGATAAATACCCATGGAGTAGAGCGAACGTAAACAAAAGTGAAATGTGAAACAGTGGAGAGGCTTTCATTCTTCTTCCTGCTCCAGAGCTAGCATCCCTGCACTGCTTCCTGTTGAACACTGGGTTGATTTTAAGGTTCTTTCATTTGTTTTTAAAGCCATACATGGGCAGGCACCAGTATATTACTGAACTTCTGTGTCCCTACTCCAACTCCCGACCATTTAGATCTTCAGAACAAAGTATAATAAGTGTGCCATGATTGAGGCTGGTGTGTAAGGGAGATTGTGCCTTTGTGGTAGTTGCTCCAAAGCTCTGGAATAGCCTTCCGCTCTCGATCATGCTCCCCCTCCACTGACAGATCTTAAGACATACATGTTTTCATTGACCTTTGCTTGTTGGTAGTGGTTTTAGTGTCGTAGCATTTTCTAATCGTTATTCTGTTTTATATTTATATTTACACTTTGGTCAACTGTGGTTGTTTTTAAATGTGCTATAGAAACAAATTTGCTTTGATTTAATTCTGCTTCTTGCATGTTTTTTTTTATTCCTTGTGGCTGTTTGTTCGGCATGTTCTTTATCTTCCCCTGTTGTACCATCCAGTTCAGATCATTTTGGATGTGTTAGTCATTGATGTCAAATCAGCACATCAATGAGAAAGAGAGTGTTGAATTGAAATCGATTTGAGAGGGTTGTTTTAATGGAGCACATTGAAATGTAAACATGGCAGTTCAAAAGTTAACTTGTCTACGACGAGGATGGGATTCGAACCCATGCGTGCAGAGCACAATGGATTAGCAATCCATCGCCTTAACCACTCGGCCACCTCGTCTTTCATGTGTGGTTTTTAAAGGAATCATTGATGTGCAAAATGATCGTTTGTGAACCAGTCAGGCCATGGTGCCTTGAATTTTGTCTTTCTCAGTTGCGTCCATGAAAAACGTTGAACATATTGATTGATTGATTGATTGATTTCGGACCACTTTTAACAACAGCACAACTATATCATCACTGCATCAGGCAGCACAAGAGGGTTTCTGATTTGAACGGTTGGGCAGGGGAGCCCTTCTGTGCGGAGTTTGCATGTTCTCCCCGTGTCAGTGTGGGTTTCCTCCAGGTACTCCAGCTTCCTCCCACAGTCCAAAGAAATGCAGTTTAATTGGTGACTCTAAATTGTCCGTAGGTGTGAATGGTCATCTGTCTCTATGTGTCAGATAGAGATATGGATAATGAATCAACAACCATATCAAACATCTTAGAAGCCCTCACAGAACTCATACAGTATAACCCAAGCCTCATTTATCCAGTCGCCTCCACCATTCAGATGTTTACACCTTCTCTACTTGGCCTCAAAAACTTTTCCAGCCATAAATAAAATGTATTTTTAAAGAACAGCTGTATTGGGAGCCTAAAACCTTCTTTAACCTTAGTTTAAAAAGCCATACAGCTGGGTAGTGATTGCCTCATAGGGCACATTATGGAAAATGTTCTGATGGCAGCTGGTGGGTATTAAGTCATTCTCACTTTAACAGGAACGTTTAAACTCTCCAGTTTCCAGGAGAAAGCCAATGTTTGACAGGGACAGTCTGGGGTGTGTGTGTGTGTGTTTATTTCCTGGTGATGAAGATATTATGTGACCCAGATTTATGCTTTTGTCCCGCCATAATGTAACAGCTGTCTCTTGTTCCTCACAGACTGGTATGATGGATAGATAGCAGGAGGACGAGGAAGAGAAGATGTCGTTCTTTGGCATGGACTGTGTCAGGAAGAAAGAGAGAGGTACGCCTTCACCACATGGATCTTATTCATCATGAAGGTTCAGATTTCATGAAACAGCAAAAATTGTCTCGCTGGTTCTCTTTGTGATTTGCTTTGGATTACACTTACAGAAAAATTGAGACCTTGATAAACACACTGTTAAAGTCATGTAAATCATTATAATACTTTCTATCTTTTCAAATCAGAGCTGGAGAGGAAAATCCGCGCCAACGACCGCGAGTACAACCTCTCCTTTAGATATGCAGTAAGTATTAATACGTGTGTATGTGTGTGTCGCTGGTGACTCTTCAACACTGTTCAACAACGTGAGGGTCTATTGTCCTGTGAAAGACATCTGAAATAGAGAAGGGAATGTACAGCGGATGCAGCCCACGTACCTTACAGACAAAACAGCTCACTGCCACATTGTCAGTACAAATATTTACAAGAGAAACTCTAGTTTTGGGGTGTGTCTGGCTGCTTGAGCGTCTGGCCGTTATCAGGAGACTGGACGTCAGCCAAAGTCAAAGAGTTGAGGTTGCTTCTGGGTAAACTCATTTACCCCAGTTTGTTCTCTGTGTTGCTGCAGTCACAACTCTGGATCACTGAAATATTAAGTTTCAAAGAAGGATAAAGACATGGGGGGCGACCTCTAGCTCACCTGGTAGAGTGTGCCCCCTACAGGTGTAGTCCTTAGCAGTGGCTCGGGTTTGATTCCAACCTGCAGACTAAAAATAATCTTAAAAAAGAGTACATTGATAACGCATGCATTTTGGTGCTTTCTTGGTTCTAAAAGTGTTACATAGGCCAGTCACTAGAAACCCTCCAAGTCAGCAGACATGCAATAAGAGGTGTCATTTCTAAGATGTCTTCTACGTCTGTATGGAGGAGGATTTTATTCAGGAAGGGAAAATGTAAATTAGTTTAGTCTGTTTAAAAAGACTTATTATTAAATACACACGGTAAAAAAAAAAATGCAAAAGCCTATTTTTCATCTGTAGTCCCTTGGCCAAGATGTTACACAAGGCTACCTAAAATACAGCAAAGCACAAAAAAACAAAAACAAAACAAAACGACACAAAAAAACAACCTGGTTTCACTCCGAAGTCGTCAAAATCTGGTGCTTGGGTAGTGACTTGTTGCGTCAGACAACGATGAGAAAAAGCTGTCCTTTAATGTCGGCATAATACGCGGCCGGTCACCATTAAAGTTTAACGAGGACAGGGGGGAAACGTGGTGGGACAAGAGTGAAAGTTAAGGTGGTGAAAGTCCAACTAAGGCAGGTAGGAGGGGTGGTGGATGGGTCCAACAAACACCAACCTTCACCCGGGAGAGCGGTGTTCGCATCTAAAGCCAAACTGTTTTTTTTTTCTTAAACCTAACCACGTGTGTTTGTTGCCTAAACCTGTTTGTTGTTGGAGAAAAAAAAAATTGCGTTGTTGTACTGATGTAGTGCTTTTATTTTGAAAGAGACTGTATGAGAACTGTACATTTCCTGTGAAAACGGATGTGTATTTTGAAAGAAGACAATGCATGTAACAGGCAGAACTTGACACAGCATCCCAGAACGTCAGCAGCCAACACACCCAGGGTACCTTGGACATTGTATCTGGACATGGAAAGTCCATGACCAAAACTCCATATGTGACGAACAGGAAGAAAAGGATATTGGATATTAAAATGCAACCTTACACAACAGTTCGTACCATATCCTACAAATTAGCACTCCACGAATGACGTAAACTAATTAATGTAAAGTTAAGAGGATTAGTTTTAGGCAAGAAATATGGAGACAATGCAACTTAAAATAACTAAGTTCACTCAAAGTTCACACAGTGACGAACGCTGGTCTCCTGAGGAAAAGTCCTGTGTTTTGTGTCCCATCTGTCGCCCCAGTCTGCCTCCTAACTAGACAACCTGGTCTCACCCCAAAGTCGTCGAATACCGGTGCTTGGTCAGTGACTTACGGCGACACCGACAAAAAAAGCCATCGTTTCAGGTGAGCATGATATGCAGCCAGTCACTGTTATTGTTTAACAGGGCCCGGCAGCGTCACGAGGAAACGTGGTGGGATAACAATGAAAGTTAAGGGGGTGATGGATGGGTTCAACAAACACCTGGCAGGCCGAACCCTGTTCTTTTTTCCTTAACCCAACCAAATGCATGTGTTGGCAAAAGTAACCGCGTGTGTTTGTTGTTGAAGGAAAAAACGTCCATTTGCAGTGTTGTACTGACGTAGTGCTTTTATTTTGAAAGAGACTGTATCCAAACTATACTTTTTCTGTGAAAACAGAAGTGTATTTTGAAAGAAGACAATGCGTGTAACAGGCAGAACTTGACACGGAGTCCCAGAGTGTCAACAACGAACGCACCCAGGGTACCTTGCACGTCGTGTGTCGCCGTGACCAAACGTCGATATGTGACGAGGTCGGAGTGAGAATGTGTTGAACTGGACCACATCCTTCTTCACTTCAGTCAGTGCACTGGTCACATGATCGCAACCTTTAAAATACATGGGTTATGCAGAAATTACCGGCTCATCATTACGTGGGATATGTATGAATATTCTAAAATAGGAATATATAATAAAAAAACTAAGACAATTAAAGAAATCAGTGAAAGAGGAAGAACTAAATAGAGCCGAGCTGCAAGAGAGAACAATAGGACGAGGAAAAGTATATTTATAAATGTTCGCATATACGCACATGTTTACAACACTACAGTATGAAACCTGAAATGGAAAATGAGAAGTTGAAAAGTGATTTTTGATCGTCCCTTTTAATCATGTTTTTGGAACAGATCATCCTGCGTACCTCTCAGAGAGGATGTATCTAGTGGAAAATACCAAACAGGGTGTAAACAGTCATTTCCCTCCTCTTGTGTATTTAAACATTTGCAGCCAGAACAGAATCTCTCGTCTGTGGGCGGTGATGTTGTTAGTGAATAGCTCCAGTGATAAACTAACATGGGAGTCACAGTCCGGCCGTTTAAGAGCCTCCTGATAAGATCCACCTGGCACAGAGCAAATGCCTCCCATGAAGTCAAACATCTGCAAAGAACTCCCACAGACACCAAATGAATGCTTGCATTACAGATTACCGATTCTGTAAAGCAGAGATTTCTGAATGATTTCTCTGTATATTTCAGGGGATCCCTAATCTGCTCTCTGGTTCCGCTTCAGTCTGAAACCAAAGAACCTCTGAGTGACCTCAACATTTTAGGCAGACACATCCAGAGAGAAGTTTGGACCTCTTATTTACCCTGAGAAGTGTTTCTAGGAATTTCACCTCCAGGAAATTCTCTGCACAGTTTATGTTATCTGTGTGTTCAGTACCACAAACATGTCATCAGCACAATAAGAGAGAGAATTATAACCACCATGAAGCTAAAGTGTATCAGGCACAGAGCAAACAAACAGTAAACACAGCATTTTAATGACTGCTAGATTGATATTGGTGCAATTGGTCTACTGCCACAATATCCTGTGCAATTATTCAACTGTGCTATTTTTGTACTATTTATTGCGTTACAACTACACACTTTATTTCATACTCTTATCCTTACTTTATATAATTCTCTATTCTTTATATCGGAGCGACTAATGAATCCTTGGGGATCAATAAAGTATTTGACTTTGACTTTGACTATTTGTCTTTCCCTAACCTGAACCAAAGTGCATTTGATGCATAAATCTAAGACAAGAGTCTTTGTTATTACATTTATTAAAATATATGTAGTGTCTCGTTACTTACTAAAACTTGCGTCTGAAAAAAATCCAGGGAGCGATAAAGTTGCCACAAGAACATAATTCAGAAAGCAGTTTAGTAACAGACAAATGTAATTTCCAGGAGACATCATTGGGGTCAAGAGCCATGAACCTTTCAGTTGAAAGGAAGGTATCTGTGTTACATTTGTTGTTCTGCCTGCTGACATTTCCTGACGTGACATTCTGACCTTAAATATCCAAAGGACCACAAACACATGCAAATATTTGTTCAAGCCATGAATAGGATTACCTAACATGCTTCTGTTTTATCATCCCGGATGCACAGAGCTAGATTTCCATAATGAAGGTTTTATGGATTCATATAAACACAGTGTGCACACATGGAACCAACGGCTAACACGAAGGGAACCACACTTCACTTTTCAGCTGGTTGTTTGTGGCCGGTTTACACCCAGAAACCCAGTTGTTGTGTTTTATTAGATTACTTGTTGTGCTATCATAACATATTTTGCTAAGATTTGATAGATTATTATTATTTTGATACTGAAATACACTGCAAAAAATTAGGGGAACACTTAAATCACACATCAGATCTTGATGAACGAATTATTCAAGTTGAAAATCTTTACTGATGAGCAAAGAACAAAATGACATAACAACGGTCAATGGAAACTAAAATCATAAACCTAATGAGGGCTGGATTCAAAATCACACCGCAAAAAATTGAAATCACAGGCTGATCCAACTTGTGTGAATTTTATCATGTGACTCAGTAGTGTGTTTGGCCCCTGCGTGCCTGTATGCACTCCTGACAATGTCTGGGCATGCTCCTGATGAGTCAGAGGATGGTGTCCATGGGGATCTTCTCTCAGACCTGGATCAGGGCATCAGTGAGCTCCTGGACAGTGGTGCGATGTGGCGGTGATGGATGCTACGATACATGATGTCCCAGAGTTGCTCAGTTGGATTTGGGTCAGGGGAACGAGAGGGCCAGTCAATGCCTTCGTCATCCAGGAACTGCCTACACACTCTGGCCACATGAGGCCGGGCATTGTCCGGCACCAGGTGGAACCCAGGGCCCGCTGCACCGAGAAGAACCTAGGGCCCGCTGCACCAGGAGGAACCCAGGGCCCGCTGCACCAGGAGGAGCCCAGGGCCCGCTGCACCAGGAGGAACCCAGGGCTTACTGCACCGGGAGGAACCCAGGGCCCGCTGCACCGGGATGAACCCAGGGCCCTCTGCACCGGGAGGAACCCAGGGCCCGCTGCACCGGGAAGAACCCAGGGCCCGCTGCACCGGGAGGAACCCAGGGCCCGCTGCACCAGGAGGAACCCAGGGCCCACTGCACCAGGAGTAACCCAGGGCCCGCTGCACCAGGAGGAACCCAGGGCCCGCTGCACCGGGAGGAACCCAGGGCCCACTGCACCAGGAGGAACCCAGGGCCCTCTGCACCAGGAGGAACCTAGGACACGCCACACCAGGAGGAACCCAGGGCCCACTGCACCAGGAGGAATCCAAGTCCCGCTGCACCAGGAGGAACCCAGGGCCCACTGCACCAGCGTAAGATCTTACAATCGCTCCGAGGATTTCATCCCGGTACCTAACAGCAGTCAGGGTACTGTTGGCTATGACATGGAGGTCTGTGTGACCTTCCAAGGATATGCCTCCCCAGACCATCACTGATCCACCACCAAACCAGTCATGCTGGATGACTTTACAGGCAGCATAACGTTCTCCACGGTGTCTCCAGACTCTTTCACGCCTGTCACATGCGCTCAATAGGAACCCTCTCACACCTGTGCCAATTCTGGTGTTCTCTAGCGAATGCCAATTGAGCTGCACGGTGCTGGGCTGTGAGCAAAAGTCCCTCATGGAGTCTGTTTCTGACAGTGTGGTCAGAAACATGCACACCAGTAGCCTGCTGGAGGTCATTTTGTAGGGCTCTGGCAGTGCTCCTCCTGTTCCTCCTCTCACCAGCAGTCCTGCTGCTGGGTTGATGCCCTTCTACAGCCCTGTCCAGCTCTCCTCGTGTAACACAGGACACTAGCAGAAGACAAAACTAGAGCAGAATCAGTCAGGAAGGATAAGGAGAGAGAATCTGTGGCCACCACATGTAAAACCATTCCCTTTTGAGAGTTGTCTTGCTTTTGCCTCTCCATTGCACCTGTTGTCACTTTGATTTGCACCAAAGCAGCTGCAACTGATTCACAATCACTTGTGCTTCCTAAATGGACAGATTGATATCCCTGAAGTTTAACTGACTTGGTGTTAGACTGTGACCATTAAGTGTTCCCAAATTCAGGAATAGGCTTGTGCACCTTTACACGAAGGAAAGTAATAGATGCTTAACTGCTCCATTAATGGTAAAATGCATTATTAAACAGTTTATCTGAAAATGATCCCATGCTTTCATGTCGCTGTTGTTGAGGAGAAATCTTTTTTATAGCCTTTTAACAGCAAGGGCAGTTCCTTAAGAAAACAGAGGAAATAACTCAACACGCCTTAGTTTAAACTGAGTTATCTTCAGGGAGTCTTGAAGATAACTCAGCTTATCTTGTCAGGGAGCAAGAAACAGTCAATCATGTCTGCACGTCTACTGTTTTCTCACTGATAAACTCATTCAACTGTAACATTTATTACAACTATTTACCTTTTATGGTAGAGGCAGAGAGGACGAAAGGTCAAGTAAATGCTGTAGATGTTTTTCTGAGCAACCTCATGATTGAGAATTTTTGTTTCCCGTTTTGATGGCTGTTTGACCTCGGTGTCACATGGACAAAACATCCCATATTCAGCATGTTGACCACCTACACACAAGAAACTAGAACCCAGTGTGAGGTTCCTCCGGCACTATGTACATTTGGATTTCTCACCTAATCATAGAGCCTGATTATCTTGAAAAGAGCACATAAGTATAATCAATTCAAACAAGCTTAAATGTCTTGACAGCATTAATTCTGTATTGATTTAACACTATATCTTATCTTTACACCTGTGCCAGACGAACGCCATCAAGACCTCTAAGTACAACCCCTTCACCTTCCTACCTCTCAACCTGTTTGAGCAGTTCCAGAGGATCGCCAACGCCTACTTCCTATTTCTGCTGGTGCTCCAGGTGAGCGAAACAAAGGCGCACACATGCACGAAAGGCAACAAGTGAGGCAGCCATCCAACTGTCACGCAAATTTTATGTAAAATATTTGACATATCTCAAATAATGAAATACAAATCAGACGTGTTTCTCTAGGGTTGGTTGAAGACATACCGAACATTTGACACATTCACAAGAAAAGAGTCAGGAATAGCATTATTACACTTTACAAGGATTTTGTCTCAAGTGGATGAGATTAAACAATTCCTATTTTTTTCTGGGACTTGATGAAACTGTCAGAGGTAACAAAAAATGTTGTGAGAATCAGCGTCTCACACACACACTTGCAAACTTGTAGTCCAATATGACACAATCCGATTCAAGCGACTGCTCTTTCTCACAGTGAAGCTGTGTGTTAACCAAACAGGAAATGGATGAATCAGGTGCAGTTAGATTAAGGAAGTGTAATATCCAGTACAGGAAATTGCCTCATCGTGTGCAGAACAGTCGCGTTGCACCACAGAGGTTGTATACTGTGGCTACTGCTCTGCTGACAGACAATGAGGAACTGGAGCACAACTGCAGTTTTAAATGAATGGTGTTAAATAGCTTGATTTATTTTCTGTATAAGTTAAAGTCCATGTTGCCTATTTATGCGTCAGAATTGATGCATTAGGTCTTTAATAAAACAATATAAAACAACTTTAAAATGTTCTTAGATTCACATCAAAAATAACCCAGCTCCTGCTCATCACATGGCTTAATGTTCAACCAAATTGTTCTCATTTTCTCCTCTGTCTCTCACCCACACAGTTTGTAGTTCCTCTCTGTTTTTATTTTTCAATTTTCATTTACTATCATATACAAAAATTAACTTAAACTGTGCATCTGTGTGCTCCTCAGGTGATTCCTCAGATCTCCTCTCTGTCCTGGTTCACCACAGTCGTGCCTCTGGTCCTGGTGCTGGCAGTCACCGCTGCCAAGGATGCCACTGACGATATTGTAAGTGAATGTGTTTTGCGTAGTGTTTCACCTTTTAACAAATTTTAACGCTTTTATTTTAGAGGTATTTTGATCATTTTTGATAAAAGATCCAAGTGACATTTACAAAAAGTCTAAAGTAGGGATGCACAACAATATTTGCACATCATCTGTATCGCCCAATAGGGGCTTTAAAATGAACTATTGTAATCGACCAACATGCTTTTTCTTAATTTGCGCAATGAATGAATATTGCATGCATTGAAAAGAATTGTATTTCATGTCTCCATCTGCTGGTGGGCCATCACGATAAGAGTATGCATGCGTAATATGATGTTAATTCCAGTACAGAAGAGACTTGATGATCACTAAAATTAGGTGGGGGAAAAAGTGAATATATCAATATCAGTATTGGCCAAATTAGTTGTTAATCGTCGGCATATTGGATATCAGCAAAAAATACAATATTGTGCATCCCTTGTCTTGAGTCTTTAATCTAACTTGCCTTAAGATGCAGGGGCCGGTTGCACAAAACACCTTAAGTCAAGATTTTCCTTTAAAGTCCAGGTTAAGGCTTTCTTAAAATAAAATCAGTTGCACAAAACACATCTTTTCTTTCAGGTCTCCTTAAAATGTTCACTTATGTTCCTTATCTTGGTCTTACACTTAAGGAATCCCTTTAAGTTAGTTAAACTATTGCACTAAAGACATTAGGTATCACAAATTTGAGCGCAAACAAACAAATGGTTATCATAGAACTATTATATTTTACCACTGTACAATCTCTTTAAATGCTGTAAATGCCTTAACATTTTTATTTAACTCTAAGGGATTCTGTGCAACACCCTTAAGTAAGTCCCTCAGTTTAGGAAAAATTAAGTCTGAAATGCCATACTCATGGAGTCAACTTTAGGTGTTTTGTGAAACTGGTAAATAAGAAAACATGGAGTCACAAATGGCTCAGAGATGCAGACTGTGTGGTGTCTGTTCTAAAAGTTCAGTTTTATATCACAGCAGTCTCAAGACTACAGTTTCAGCCACAACGTGTAAAATACTACTCCAATAATATTTAAACAAGCTCACTACTGTTTATAACACATCTTTTGACAACAGGAAATGAGGGAAATCAGAAATCAGGAACAGTTCAAGCTGCAAAACAGCTGACCAAAATTTCCGATATGCCAGGAATCCATTTGATTGTCCATGAGCCAGATTGCTCAGGAAATTAATCAGGCAGCCTGACCCCCCCTTAAACTGCATATCAAACTGAAACCTATCCAGCAGATAATCATCCTGAATCTAAAATGAGTCTGTATAGTGTGCGCCTTGCTGAAGATGTTGCAACACACATCAACTATTTGGTCTGTTGTCTGAAAAATAAGTAAGCACAGCATATTTTCCAGCTGATCAGGGAATTATTTCTATCAACTCTGAAGTGAACTACCTTAATGACATGTCGTCCTAGTTAAGTATCATCAAAAGTAAAATACACTGGTGGATTATTTTGCAAAGAGACACAGCACTGTTTGTCATTTCATGTTACCTGATGTTGCTGATATTCACTGTTGCACTAACATCAGCAGGCTCGTGTGCAACGTGCTCCTCTGAACTTGTGTGGTCTCAAACAGGCATTTATCAGTCTGCTCAGCGTCTAAGGATTAAGGTTGCCATGGCGACTGTGTCTCTGTTTGTTTAAGTAATGATCCAAGCACATTATAACCTCAGTCGTCCTCAGGCTTATTTCCATTATTTAAAAAAATAAATAAATAAAAAAGTTTAGGCAAATAGGAGCTAAAATTTTAAAATCGACAGACTACATTCAGACTTTTGTCAAGTGATTGGTCCCTTTTCTGTAAGACTATTTCTCATCAGTCAGGTTTGTGACAATGGTCTAATGTGGTGACGAAAATTGATGTCACATGGGAGTTTAGACTGATTAAGAAATGACAACCCCACCCCACCCTGAATATCACAGGTGACCTGCTGACTCATAGTCAGCAGGTCACCAGAAAGTCTTTTTTTATTGTGAAAGGACAAACTGTTTTCATTTTCTTTCACTGCTTTACGGGAACCGAAACAGAACAAAATGCACTTCTTAAACAATGAAAGGAAAATGACTTTGTTTCAGCCGTCAAGGTCAATCAAACAAATGTGTATGTACAGTGTGTGCGTGCGTGTGTGTTGCACCCAGTAACTTAATGCCAAACCAGCGAGAGGAAATTAGTGTTGTCATGGGTTAAACATTAGCCGAAGGAGGAGAACAGGAGTCTTTTTGTTTAGCAGCTGCAGTGACGATCCTGAACGTGCCTCGCCACCGGTACCCATCTGTTCCTTTATTGAGGTCACTGGGTTCAGGCTTGACGTGATATTCGTGAGCAGGTACACAGAAACTAGAGACTGGCCATGTATGGCGAGGTGGATGACCTTGCAAAACAAACGCTGAAATAATGCCAGTGTTAGGAAAGCTGCTGTGAAAGGACTGGGTTTACAAACTACTGCCTGCTGAACTGTAGGAATATAGCAGATATATAGTTTTTGTATTTCTGAAATTGTTCCGATCGTTTAACTTTGTATTTATGGATATAATTTCCACAGTGAATTTGGATCAAGCCTCACTTTACATGAGCTTCACGGGTAGAAAACAATAATCATGTAATGCAGTGGCTCCCAAATTAGGGCTTGATGCATCTACAAGGGATAAAAAACATTAACAAAACAAAAAAGTTGTGCTTATTTTGTCAGATTACATATACTGTTACCTCTCTCAGTGACAGCTTACCAGCTCCGAACCTCAGTTGAGAACATGTAGGCTTATTAACATTAAATTTAGCTTGTCTTGTTATTTACCAGTAACTAGCTTCTAGTGGCCCGGACCACTCGACACTTACTCCTGCTGATTATCATCACTCTTTGCTGCATGCCGTCTTCACACGTCGCATCCACAGACAAACACTTGTCTTTATCTGGAAACATTTTCCCCACGAATACAACATGCTAATGTTTTTAGCACAAGCCTATGGCATTTTACATTGTATAGGTTAGCCTAGCAGCTAGCGGACATGTCTTCTTCTCGTATAAAACCAGGGACAACAGCAACATTTAACAAAGGTAACATTACAAAATTCAGCTCCATTACAACTCAGAATGTTCACAGACAAAACAACTGTCCTATACTAAAGATGTTTTCCAAGCAAATATAATATGCTAACATTATTAGCAAAGCCTATGGCATTTTACATTATATAAATTAGCCTAGCAGCTAGCTAAGATTTCCTCTACTCATATAAAACCAGGGACGATAGCAACATTTAACAAAGGTAACATTACAAAATTCAGCTCCATTACACCTCAGAATGTTCACTGACAAAAAAACTGTCCTATACTAAAGATGTTTTCCAAGCAAATATAATATGCTAACGTTATTAGCAAAAGCCTATGGCATTTTACATTGTATAAATTAGCCTAACGAATAGCGGAGATTTCCTCTGCTCATATGAAGCCAGGATAAATCACACACAAGACTTAACATGCTGTTTTGTGGAGGCTTTATTGTTGTTGTTGTTTCTTATCTGTGAAATTAAAGTAAACAAAAGCGTTGTTTCCACTGAGGGAAATTGTTTCAGCTCATAGACAGGAGGTCTGCGTTGTAACTTTCAGTTACATTTCTGGGGAGGTGCACAACAGGCTACGGCGTAGGTACAGCATTGATTTGACGCAAAAGCATAAATCCCGCTTTAAAAGGGAAAAGAGTGAGCCCATAATGACAATATATGAATGTTTTAGTGGAACTAGTCACAACTGGTAGGATTTTGTTTCATTTAAAGGGGTCACAAGCCAAAAAAGTTGTATGGCAACCAAAATTTAATTGGTTGTTCCTTTGCCTGAGGCCTTTAGACAACCAAATGACACAGAAATCAGTTATCAAACACAGAAGCAGCAGGTCAAGAAGTTTCTGCCAGAAAGTAGAACAGAAAACCCAAAAAAGCATTTTCTGGGTTTGACACAGAAAGAACAATTAGGCTACATTTTCTTCTTACTTTTAACTTTCTTTTATACTGTATGTAACACCTGTAATACATATTCATGCTGATTGCTGTTTAACAGAGACAGAAATCTGGACTTAAACCCTTTGGCTTGTGGACAGGTAGATGTACGAGAGCTTCTTGTTCTGGGGAAAGATCTATTAAGTCTTTGTAATATCTGACTTGTGTAAATAGTAAATTTTAAGAAGTGAACTTGTCTGTTAAGCCAGAGAAACGTTAAAATTGGTTCAGGAAATAATTATGAAACACTGCAAGCATTTGAAAGCTGTGTTGGCATTTAAAAAAAAGGGGAAACCACCTGATTGTACTGACTGTTTCAGCTGCCGCCTCTGTGTCTCACTCACAGAAATAAATAGTGATCAGAAACTGAAGAGAAAAAAGAGACAAAGGAGGCGTCATCATGGTGAAGAGTCATCAGTGGTTGGAGTGGAAGTAGAAGTTTTTTAGAAGGTCAAAGGTCTAATTCAGCTGAATACCTCTAATGGGAGGTTTTCATTTCAAACTGTAACATCATGTCCTCCAACACATTAACACCTTTGTGTCATTACGCAAAACAACACAAAAAACCCACAATATATCAGCTGTTAACGAATTAGTTTCATGGGAACTTTCGTCAGAACTAATCAGTATTCAGTGGTAAAACTGAGTTTCTTGTGACCTCTTATGACTTATTGTTTCATTGTGTATGTTTCTTTTTCCAGAACCGCCACAGAAGCGACAATCATGTCAACAACAGGAAGGTCCAAGTCCTCATTGATAGAAAGTAAGTTTGAAATACACCTGTGCTTATATATACAACGTTTCAGGTAGCCACTTGCTGGTTTTGTGTATTTGTAGAGGCACCATCAGGGTCCTTTAACTTTTTTTTGTACAGGTAGGTGTTCCTCAGGGAACCATCTTGGGTGCCCTTTAGCTTTATTATGAAGAAGCCTTGAAATAATCCCTCAAGTCATTGTATTTGCTTGTTTCAGCTCTAAGGGTGAAATAAAGCCCACATGCCCATCCCATATACAGTACAGGCCAAAAGTTTGGACACACCTTCTCATTCAATGCGTTTTCTTTATTTTCATGACTATTTACATTGTAGATTCTCACTGAAGGCATCAAAACTATGAATGAACACGTGTGGAGTTATGTACTTAACAAAAAAAGGTGAAATAACTGAAAACATGTTTTATATTCTAGTTTCTTCAAAATAGCCACCCTTTGCTCTGATTACTGCTTTGCACACTCTTGGCATTCTCTCCATGAGCTTCAAGAGGTAGTCACCTGAAATGGTTTTCCAACAGTCCTGAAGGAGTTCCCAGAGGTGTTTAGCACTTGTTGGCCCCTTTGCCTTCACTCTGCGGTCCAGCTCACCCCAAACCATCTGGATTGGGTTCAGGTCCGGTGACTGTGGAGGCCAGGTCATCTGCCGCAGCACTCCATCACTCTCCTTCTTGGTCAAATAGCCCTTACACAGCCTGGAGGTGTGTTTGGGGTCATTGTCCTGTTGAAAAATAAATGATGGTCCAACTAAACGCAAACCGGATGGGATGGCATGTCGCTGCAGGATGCTGTGGTAGCCATGCTGGTTCAGTGTGCCTTCAATTTTGAATAAATCCCCAACAGTGTCACCAGCAAAACACCCCCACACCATCACACCTCCTCCTCCATGCTTCACAGTGGGAACCAGGCATGTGGAATCCATCCGTTCACCTTTTCTGCGTCTCACAAAGACACGGCGGTTGGAACCAAAGATCTCAAATTTGGACTCATCAGACCAAAGCACAGATTTCCACTGGTCTAATGTCCATTCCTTGTGTTTCTTGGCCCAAACAAATCTCTTCTGCTTGTTGCCTCTCCTTAGCAGTGGTTTCCTAGCAGCTATTTGACCATGAAGGCCTGATTGGTGCAGTCTCCTCTTAACAGTTGTTCTAGAGATGGGTCTGCTGCTAGAACTCTGTGTGGCATTCATCTGGTCTCTGATCTGAGCTGCTGTTAACTTGCCATTTCTGAGGCTGGTGACTCGGATGAACTTATCCTCAGAAGCAGAGGTGACTCTTGGTCTTCCTTTCCTGGGTCGGTCCTTATGTGTGCCAGTTTCCTTGTAGCGCTTGATGGTTTTTGCGACTCCACTTGGGGACACATTTAAAGTTTTTGCAATTTTCCGGACTGACTGACCTTCATTTCTTAAAGTAATGATGGCCACTGGTTTTTCTTTAGTTAGCTGATTGGTTCTTGCCATAATATGAATTTTAACAGTTGTCCAATAGGGCTGTCGGCTGTGTATTAACCTGACTTCTGCACAACACAACTGATGGTCCCAACCCCATTGATAAAGCAAGAAATTCCACTAATTAACCCTGATAAGGCACACCTGTGAAGTGGAAACCATTTCAGGTGACTACCTCTTGAAGCTCATGGAGAGAATGCCAAGAGTGTGCAAAGCAGTAATCAGAGCAAAGGGTGGCTATTTTGAAGAAACTAGAATATAAAACATGTTTTCAGTTATTTCACCTTTTTTTGTTAAGTACATAACTCCACATGTGTTCATTCATAGTTTTGATGCCTTCAGTGAGAATCTACAATGTAAATAGTCATGAAAATAAAGAAAACGTATTGAATGAGAAGGTGTGTCCAAACTTTTGGCCTGTACTGTATGCAGATGAAGCATACCTCACATAGTTGAAATAGTAGGGCTCAGGTCAACAGGATACAAAACAAGGGCTCTCCACCACCCTGCAGCTGCTTCCTGTTGGTTGAACTGGATAGAGTTTACGTTAGGTTGAATGTAGGATGTTTAATATAGATGTGTTTATGTGTGTGAATGAAGAGGGGCATATGTTTGCTTATTGTACTTGTCTTTAGATGACAGATGACCTTACAGATGTTTTTATGTGTTTTATTTGTTTTTATGTCATTCTGTTGATTGTTAGAGCATTTGGATGCAAGATAGACAATAAAAGTATTATCTTATCTTATCTTATCACACAAGGAATATGCAGAGTTGAAACACAGGAATGTACACTAGATATATAAAATAAAGGTAAAAAACACAACTAGATCCCACTGAGAAATGTATGTTTTCCTTTTTATTATAATTAAAGCTGTAAGTTTATCTCCCTAAGTGAAAGTTGTCAGATGAATGTAATTCTGGTGAAGAAAAGCCAAACTAAATACTTTTTTATTTAATTTAAATGCCTTTTATGTTTTGTTTGGTGGGTTTGTTGTTCCATAAAACCAAATTTAGAGATATTGGACCTCATGCAAGAAGCGATACATGAACAAATTTCTTCTTATTTTTGTTCATAGCTATGATTTGTTTTTATTTTGTTAGACTCATTGATTTCTGGAATTCACCAGTGTTTTCTTACTTTTGCACTTCTGTTAGGTAAGAGAAAAGTTTAGTGGTAAAGAGCACATTTTCTCAGATAAGAAAAAAAAAACATCTAATTTTTACAGTCCAAATGTTGCCTGTCCAATGAAAGGAAACATAGGTTTTAAGTTTGAGGAACATTAAAAACACACGAGTATCATATAATCAAATTTAGATTTAGATGTGTTTTATAGTGATTTTAATGATTAGATTATTACATTTTTGGGCTGTAAAAATACTGTTGGTCCATAAAAATCCTTGGGCAATGTGGTCTTTTGTTTCAATGCGTCCCTCTGCTGACACGGCATTTACAGCATCACAAATGGTACGAACATTATTGGGATTTTATTTTTCCAGTAACATCAGTACTGATGCTCTGGAACATAATGTGTTCTTTATGTTCATTTCACCATTAGGTCAGTTTCATTACTGCACAAGTTATTTTTCTTACGGGCTTTTTTGGTGGCATCTTTCCCAACTGTTGGGCATGTGCACCATGTACACCTGCCCTCACCTTGCCCACCTGCTGATAGGATACTTATGATCAAGTGGGATTCATTGTTCAGAACACTGGGGCCTGAGCAGATTTGGATGGTTAAGAACTTTTTGTGAATCTGGAGTTGACTTCTTGTATTTTTTCTCTTAACAGAAAATTAAAAGAAAACATGAGAGAGATGTAAGAGAATATTGCTGCATGAGACCCACTGAATTGAAATAGATATCAAAAATCAGCACTTAAAAGCCCCCAGTGTGTGATTTGTGGCCCATCCTGCATCCAGGACATGGTCAAACCCTAACCCCAGCCTGTCCACTACGCTCTTGCTGCTCCCTCACAAAGCCGGACATAAAAAATAAAAAAGACTCCTTTTCCGTGTCGCATTGTTTGTGAATCTAGCATTTCAAGCAGTTCAGCATTTTTGAGGAAACTGATGTACTTGCATGATTTTTGGAGTTAAATGCACTTAATGTAAGTCGCTTTGTAAAAAAAAAAAAAAAAGTTTCAGCTAAATTAATATAATGTAGTAGAATGTAGACTCCTCCTTAGATTGTTAAAATGCCCAAATTTCCAGAAACAATACCACAGCCCATGACCTCGTTGCCCTCAGTAATAACTATAGCCCTGTTTGAAGTGATAGTAAAAGGAGAGAAGAAGTAAATCATGCTGGAAAAGTCGGAACCAGCTGTAACTGAAAAATTAACAAGGAATGGAAGGAAATCAATTGATCAGTTATTTGCTGTCTGTACAGACGTAGTACAAGAAAGACAATTAATGTCAACAACATGTTATAATTAATATTATTGCTAAGCTGAGGTATGTAAATGTGTACCGTAATAACCCAACATTACCAGTGTTTCCACTCAAGGCACCAGCTGTATATTTAGATATGTATGGTGCACCAGATATAAATAGTTGCATTTACATTGTTTCTTTTTTCCGACTGGGTTTGCACTTGTTGGCCTTTGCCCAGTGCCCACTGTTTAGGGTGCCACGGGAAGCAGCTGCAGGATGGTGGGAAGAGACTGTATATTTCCTGTTGACTTGATGTCAGGGAGTGCTTGATTTGTTGTGTTGGACCTGGAGTACAAACATCGTTTTCCAGAGTGTAGTTGGGAAACAAGTGGAGGAATTGCAAGTTTTTACCATTGAATGAAGCCGATTTTGTTCCCAGCAAGACTGTAAATGTGAATATTATTATCAGAGATGCATCTTTGAATCAATACTGATGCAGGTTTGGTATCAGAGGCCTGATGGAGGGTAAAATTTAATTGTACAAGACTAGGTTAAAACTGTTGTGGTAGTGCTCAAACTAATGATTTCTCATATTTGGTGAGTGCATTAATTATTTTTTCAAATACACTGTTTATTAAGTATTTTATAAGAGGTGAAAACAAATGACAAATGATCATGTCAGACTGATTGTACTCAGTGTAAAGGTTAATTTCTTCTTTTAGTTATAAGACGTTTTATAATTACTGCAAACATTCACTAAGTTCTCTTTGAGCATTAGCAAACTACAAAGAGATTAAAGTAAAAACTGTCCTCTGCTCAAATTTGAAGTAACAGCACAGGCTGACAAATGAAACAGAAAACCCTGAAAATCATTAAATATTTATATTCCAGACAACTTTTTAAAACTCTGGCTATTGTTGGCAGACAGATACACAGACAGACAATACAGGAAAGTGGCAGGAAGCTGCGGTGAGGGAAGGGGACGAATATTAAGATGACCTTGGTGTTCAGTGCTTATTTATGGGCAGTTTATTTTCTGACTATCCTCAAAGAAAAAGGGAAAAGAAAACAGTTTCTCTGAGCTTAGCACAGAGTCACTAATCAGCTCCTGTTTCCTGTTCTTAGACTGCGGAGCGAGAAATGGATGGACGTCCAGGTGGGAGACATCATCAAGCTGGAAAACAACCAGTTTGTCACTGTGAGTAAAGAGTATTAAAATGTCTTGAATTCAGAGTGGATGAGTCTGAAATGTTTTAAGTCACAACAAAGCAAATGGACCTGCGCCTTTCTAGTCTTCTGACTGCTCAAAGCACTTTTACACAACATGTCACATTCACCCATTCACACAGGCTACCATACATGGTGCCACCTGTTACTCAGTAGCCATTTACATTTGCTTTCACACACTGATGGAGCAGCCATTAGGAGCAATTTGGTGTTCAGTATCTGGACCAAGGATACTTCGACATACAGACTGGATGAGCCGGGGATTGAAGCACCGATCATATGATTGATGGACAACCAGCTCTATGTCGGAGCCACAACCACCCAACAAATTCCTGGTGTTTGCGCTACTGGAGAGAAACACTATTTAACAGGGGACAGACTCTGACCCATGTATGCGTGCAATGGCCCTCTTTTTAACCCCTCTACGCATTTAGATCACACAATGAGTCTGCGTCGTTAAACCAAGGCCCTGCTAGCCAGCCTGCTCGTTAGTTTATTTTTCTCTCTGCAGTAACCACAGAGTATCTGTGCGTTCCAATACCCATACTACCATACTATATACTATGCCAGAGAAAGATATAGTGTGTCCCAACACATAGTATCCCCTTTTTCACTGCCAGATTTTCCGTAAATGTTGGGCCGTTTTGCAGGCAAGCCAGACACACAGAGCCGGATTGGCAAGTTGATCCGAGGTGCCCAATTTTACACCTCATAGGGTAGTCATTTTGGCGGAACCTTTTAGTTTAAACAGACCGAGGCGGCCTTCCACAACAGGAGGGACTGTTGAAGACTTGTGGGAGGAGCTGTTGATGACCCCGCACGTGCGACCCAATGGCGGTGGATAAACAGGGAACAAGGAAGCAGGATAGCTACTCACTAATAATTAGTGATTAGTATCCTGCTTCCTTGTTCCCTGACCCTTGTTCCGCTTTTGTAGCAAGAGGGAAACACAAACCTGACAGACACTGTAAAGATGAGCAACTGGGGAGACAAGGAATTGCGTGTCCTCCTTGTTCTCGCAAACGAAGAGGCCATTAACCATCAGATGACGGGGACGGTGAAGGATGGGCCAACTTATGAGAGAACTGCCAAAGGACTGACCAGCCGCGGCTTCTCTTGGAGCACGTCACTGTTTACGTCACACACTGAGCTACATGTTTTGTTACTTGCTCACGCCCCCCATTGCCCTGAAAAAGGTGCATTCTGTATAAACAAAAGTAGGCAGGCGGCATTTTGCTGCACTCCTCGATTTTGTTTTTATACTGCCAATGCTGAAAAAAGACTGAGTGGGCTTTCCTGCAAATTTGCACAGTTCCTATCTAAAAAGGGCTAGAATATCAAATGCAGTATGCCAAAAATACCAGGATGTTCCACTACATTCAGTCTGATTTTGCAGTATGCAAGCCAGCATGGTTTTCAGGCTAATTTGACCCACAGTCCTCAACGCAGCGGACAATACCTCACATCAAATGTCAGAAGTCGCAATGATGGATGACAGCTTATTCAAGTAACTGATGACCAGTGGAATAGTAATAACAGGAATATTGATTGTTTAAGTGTGTAATATTCTCCTGTTGAGACTATGAGATAGTAACAGTTGTCCCTATTGGTTTCTTAAAGATGCTTGATTGTGATTGGTCCAGAGTATAACCTTTGATACCCTGTCACGCAGTTGCATTGTGTTTGTAGTTCGGCTTCCTGCTTAAACATTTAGCCTGTATGTCACCAGCGTGTTCATAAACGCTTGAAGTTACAGCACATCGTCGTCCAGAAAAATTTGTACATATTGTGCAAAACAAGACAAAGTGAACAAAATAATCATAAATATCACAAACAACAAAAGGACATAACTATGAAAATGACAACGATGGAGAACTGCAGATGTAATCTCACTGTCGCAAATATAAAATGTGAAAATTTACAGTTGTTACTTAAAAGTTAAAGTAACATCAGCAGAGCTCTCTGGGTTAATCTCCATCTCTGGTGAACTCAGTAAGCAGCGTTTGTTTCATCCTCACGGAAACTGATATAAAAGCATGAAGGTCAAAGTTCAGTGCGTAATGTTATGAGAAAGTAGTATGTCCCGATTGTGTGCATACTGCATGCAACAGTATGTATTTTTAAGATAAGGGCAGCTGCAGTGCCCACTAAAAGTAAAAAGAAAGAGTATGCGACACAGAACGCACCCTATCATCATTTTTACCTTACTGTGTGTATTTCCATCACAAGTTTGGTCATAAATTTCATTTAAAGTGGTGTTAAAAAATGTCTTTAAATGTCCTGAATTCAACTTGTTTCTGCCTGAAGACGCCCTGATTCATAATTCTCCAACAGATTCCACCTCCACTCTCTGTAGATCTTGCCTCTTGTTGTGCCGTTGTATTCTGTTTGTCATTTTGATTTACAGTTTTACATCTTTGAGTTGACATTTTTCTTGAAACGCTTCATCTTTGGATCGTACAAACAAAGTAAAGCTTCACGTTTGCCTTATAAAGACCTCGAAGATGAGAATGTTGCATCATTACATTTCTGGGGAGATTGCAGTATTCAGTGTTTGGAGAACGTCTTGTGTTTTTTCCTTTGCAAAACTAAGAACAGCCATAAAGCTGTCAGCAAAGGCAAAGGTTGTAACTGGCGTTCAGTTACGATAAACTCCTGCAGAGATAATTTGATATTTCTGTGATCTTGTGTTATTAATGCCAGAAATCATTGACCTAACCTAGCATCCGTATGTCTGACAAATTTCCATGTAGCTTATCGTTCCAGCAGTATGATGAATAAGAAAAATGATGTTTTGTTTTCCAGAAAGACAAACAGCAGATTTCAGTGATAAATCCTCCTGTACTTTCAGGCCGACCTCCTGTTGCTCTCCAGCAGTGAACCACTCAACCTGGTGTACATCGAGACGGCAGAACTGGATGGGTCAGTCTGTTTTTTTTTGTCTAATGTCATGTCATCTCATTTCTTTTCTTCCCGCTCACTTACTTTTCCTCCTCTTCCCCTTACTTCTCGTCAAACTTCTCTTCCTTTTCCCGACCACCTTATGTTCCTTCTCACTTTATCGTCCTCCTCTCCTCCTCTTCCTCAGGGAGACAAACCTGAAGGTGAGACAGGCCCTGACTGTGACAGGAGACCTGGGAGAAGATATTGAAAAACTGGCAGACTTCAACGGTAAGACTGCTAGAGTACGGCCAACTGTTGGTTGGTTTCTGATCACCTGTATGTATTCTGTATTTGCGTCTTGATTTTCTCACTGTCTCAGTCACTCTTTTCTGTACAAACAGAATGTTCAGAAACCTGGAAAAGATGTTTTCATCCCGCAGTATCCTGGTTTCTATCAGAGGACTCCAGGCAGCAGAAAACTGGGATAAGGGCTTGTCTAGGTTCCCTAAAACCAAGATATGATGTTGACATGCACAACACATAACCAGGGCGCTCCAAAAACGGATAAGAACCAGGATACTGGTCGTATAAACACTTTGATAAAGACAATAAACCTCCTCTATTACATGGAGAAGCTGCACAGTCACAAATAGCATTCAACTTTTTCAGCATTGAAGCAAAAAACAAAATATATTCAGGTCGAAAAAAAAGGTTCACATTTAGATTAGATATTTAAATGAAATGTATAAGTGTTGGTGTTGGAATGAGCTGGTATGAAACTTGTATGAAACAAGTATCCGGTACAGACAAAGTATTTTTAATGAGCATGAGTATCACTTTTGTAAATAAAACATCAAAATTCATATTTGGTAGCTGCTGTGTCACGTCTCATGTAGGCCAGATAGTCAGCCACACACACACACACACCTCTTCCTCCTGTTACACACATAACTGCTGCAGCTCTGTTGTCACATCTCACCATCATCACAGGCAGCCATTGAGAAACAATGCAACTCTTATTGCTTTAATTTACTCCAGTTATGGTTAAGTTTTCCTCTGTTGGCCCACTCCTACGTGTGTTTGTAGAAAATATCCAAAGTCAGGTGAGTTAGTTGGAGAAGTTGGCTCGTACAGGACGCGGTGCAGTCGCAGCTCGCGACTCTTACCGCGGTCTCTCTCCATCTGTCTCTCCCTCTCTCTCTCACACACGCATATACACAACTAATAATTAATAAACATTGTTTTCAGTGTGTAGAAAACCATCACACAAGCACAAAGAAAGTTAAGTGAGAACTCTAGTTTGTCAATCAATCAATCAATTTTATTTATAAAGCCCAATATCACAAATCACAATTTGCCTCAAAGGGCTTTACAGCATACGACATCCCTCTGTCCTTAGGACCCTCGCAGCAGATAAGGAAAAACTCCCAAAAAAAACCCCTTTAACAGGGAAAAAAAAAAACGGTAGAAACCTCAGGAAGAGCAACTGAGGAGGGATCCCTCTTCCAGGACGGACAGACGTGCAATAGATGTCGTACAGAACAGATCAGCATAATAAATTAACAGTAATCCGTATGACACAATGAGACAGAGAGAGAGAGAGAGAGAGAGAGAGAGAGAGAGAGAGA